GCCCCATGTGAGAAATGACAATGTTTTAGGGTTCTCCAGAGAAACAGAACTAGGACATCTACAGATACATATGAAAATCTGGATTTATTACAGGAACTGGCTCCCATGTTACAGAGACTGAGAAGTCCCATAGTCTGCTGTCGTCAAGCTGGAGACCCAGAAAAGCCAGAGGTGTAATTAAATCTGCGTCTGAAGGCCCAAGAATCAGGGTGGAGGGGCCAATCATATAAACCCCACTCTGCGTCCAAAAGCTCAAGGACCAGGAGCACCAATGCACGAGAATCGAAACTGGGTGTCAGCTCCAGCAAAGACAGTGAGCTCACCCTTCCTCTGCCTATCTGTTCTATTCTGGCCCTCAGGGGATTGAAAGATGCCCACGCACATGAGGAAGGAGGACCTTCTTTCCTCAGTCTTCAGAGTCAAAGGCTGATCTCCTCCAGAAACCCTCTCACAGATACATCCAGAAACGTTTCACCAGCTATCTGGGCATCCCGTAGCACATAAAATCAATCATCACAGGAAATACCTGGTTTTCCACACCCACCACTTTAGTCTTTCCTGGTGGCATGTGGACCCAACTGGGCCTTGCTAGAACCAACCGGGGGAGCCTTACAGAATATCCATCTCCAGACCACACCTCAGGCCAATTGAACGAATTTCTAGGGTGGGAGCCAGGCAGCAGTGTTTCTGAAAGAAGCCTGGGGCAATTCTAGACTGCAGGGAACCACTGCAAAGGGATCAGATCAGAAAACTCTGTGACTATCCTTCAGAAAGCCAACATTAAGGCTCCTGCCCTGCCCTGACATGGGCTCACTCTCCTCATTTCTGACACAGGTGACCTGTGAGGCTGTACCTGGCCCTCCGGATGGTTGTCCCCTTCCCCCCATGTCCTTTGTCCTTGTGCACAGGCTGCTATGTAACTGCTCTGGTGATGGTTCTCCGTTGGCTGGTCTGTCTCCTCAGAGGCCAGGCCATACCTCAAGCACCTTTTTACTCCATCCTGGAATTAACTTATCATTAGCACATGATTCTTCGGTTAACCTCACAGACACTAAAAGGAGACTTTTATTTATTTTTTTTTTATTTTCTTTATTGTGTTATGTAAGTCACCATAAAACACATCATTAGTTTTTGATGTAGTGTTCCAAAATTCATTGCATAAGCAATGAATAAGCACACCCAGTGCTCCATGCAATACGTGCCCTCCTTAATACCCACCACCAGCTCACCCAACACCCAACACCCCCCCAAAACCCTCAGTTTGTTTCTCAGAGTCCACAGTCTCTCATGGTTTGTCTCCCCGTCCGATTTCCCCCAACTCGCTTCTCCTCTCCATCTCCCAATGTCCTCCGTGTTATTCCTTATGCTCCACAAGTAAGTGAAACCATATGATAATTGACTCTCTCTGCTTGACTTATTTCACTCATCACAGTCTCCTCCAGTCCCGTCCATGTTGATATAAAAGTTGGGTATTCAGATGGCGGCATAATACTCCACTGTCTATATGGACCATATCTTCTTGATCCATTCATCTGTTGAAGGGCATCTTGGCTCTTTCCGCTGTTTGGCTATTGTGGACATTGCTGCTATGAACATTGGGTACATATGGCCCTTCTTTTCACTACAGGAGCCTTTTAAAACGTAAATCCTATCATGTCACTCACTTAAATAAAACCTCCAGCACTTCTCACTGTGCTCAGAGTGACAAAGCCCTATCTTAGCTCCGAAGCCCTCTGCAGGCTGACGCCGTACCTCAGGTGAGAGGGGCAGGAGGAAGGACATGAACTCGCAAGCAGGTGTCCCAGGGCCAAGGACTGGCACTATGGGCTCCTCGACTCTGGAGACGTTACGGAACCTCTCCCGGCCTCCTCTCTAAAGGCAGATTTGTCATGAGGATTAAATTAGCTGGCACATGTAAAGCTCTGACAAGACACCGGATTCCTCTTCCTCACCACATCCCAGCTTCATTCAGTCCCGGGAACGGGTCACACCCGCTCTCGCATTGGGACTGCGGCGCAGGACCGCTCTCTCCTGACAGCCGGCACGACTGACTCCCCGTCACTCAGGGGCCAATGCCAATCCGTGGCCTCATAGACCCTCTCTCACCCCTTCAGCACCCCGTTCTGTGTCCTTCACGACTGCGGTTAGCTTGTGAGGGCCGCTATAACCAAGCACCCCAAACTGCGCATCTGAAAACCAGATATGTATTGTCTCCCTGTTCCGGAGACTGGAAGTCTGCGAGGACGGTGCAGCGGGGTGAGGAAGAGGCGCGCTCCGCGGCGCTCTCCCAGCCTCTGGGGGTTTGCTGGCAGCCCTTGGTGTTCCTTGGCCTTTAGATGCATCAACCTGGCCTCTGCTTTCATCTTCACACCTCATTCTGTGTCCAAATGTCCTCTTTTCACAAGGACACCTGTCATATTAGATTAAGTGCCCACCCTATTCCAGAAGACCTCATCTTAACTAATTACATCTGTAACAACTATTTCCAAATGAAGGCACATTCTGAGACCTTGGGGGTTAAGATTTCAACATACGAATTTGGGGGGTACACAATTCAACATCTGATATGCCCGTCATGTCTCCCTGGAATGATCAGATTTTATTTATCATCCTGCGTATTGTGTTATATTCTTTCCTCTCTGAACAGCACTGTTTATGTTGTCTGATTTTTCTGCGGTAGACATCCTATGGCTTTATAATAAGAAAAACAATAAAACATAAGCCTCTTAGAATATTTTATTTATTTATTTGACAGAGAGAGAGCGAGCACAAGCAGGGGGAGTAGAAGGAACAGGGAGAGGGAGAAGCAGACTCCCTGCTGAGCTGAGACACCACTCCCCCCCCCCCCACAACATGAGGCTTGATCCCAGGACCCTGGGATCATGACCTGAGCCAAAAGCAGATGCCTAACTGACTAAGCCACCCAGGCACCCCTAAAAAATAACCTTTTCAGGAAAAAGCAAAAACAAACCTTAGTCCTTGCCTTGTGATTTAGGTGTTCATCACCTCACATTCTAGACTGAAAGCTCCATGAGAGCAAGAACCATGTCTTTGTACCCCAAGTCTAAGACCACGCCTGGCACATAACAGATACTTGGTATATGCTGGCTGAGTTGAAATTAAATAGATATATACATTAATTTCTCACAAGAGCTCAAGTAAAACAATTGTTCTCACAGACTCTCTGGTATATATGTGATACATTTTCTGACAAATCTCGAAATCTTAGAAAGAAAGGAAGGAAGGAAGGAAAGAAGGAAGAAAGAAGGAAAGATGGAAGGGAGGCAGGGAGGGAGAAGAAAAGGAAAGGAAAGAAAAGAAAAGAAAAGAAGAGAGAAAAGAGACTGCTGACACCCTAGGCTTTTAAAATAACTCTGCCATATACAATGGCACTATCCACATGTACTGATATTTAAGGTGTTGTCAAGAATTAAAACACAGCATGAAACAACACTGTCAAAACTAGAGGAAATTAAACCAGTAGGTCCATTGCCCAACCCCTGTAAACCAAACTGCCTCATGTTGCCTGATTCTTCTAATTAGGTTGTGTTTGTAAAGCCTTTAAAAGCAGACAAATGTTACATTAAGCATTAAGTAGTATTAATTAATAATATTGGTAGATTACATGGGCTGGTACTTCTTGTAAATGTAAATGTCCTAGGCTTGTCAGCACCATAGTTGGAATTAATGTTCAGCTGTACCTGAACTTTATAGAACTGCATAAAACTTCTGGCTTCCAAAGAAAGTAGCTTCATATCATCTCGGCATTCTCTAACTGTTCAAAACTTGGGAAATCATCTAATATAATAGTTCTCAGCTCTATGAAGACCAGCAGCTCTTTTCTGTAATAAAGGCTTTGTTAGACCACCCCCTTTTAATACCCTGAAGCAGAATGCATGAATAACCTGCCTGTATGGAACATACTTGAGTATGGAAAGACTCAGGTGGGCACCCAGGGAGCTGTCAGATGCTTTCGCTGTATACAGAACCACTGTCAGTGTGCTGCTTCCAAATGGCAGGCAGTCACAGGTATGCTGCATGGGAGATCCATGGGTGGTGCTGACAGGGGGCCTTGAGTTTCTGAAGCCGTGAAGAATTCCTTTTTGATTCCAAACTAAAGAGTTTACAATCATCCTTCCATTTACTCTATAGTTGGATTCCTGGAAAAGTCAATGTATATTAAAACCATCCCTGAAAACCCCATATGTTTATACATAAAAATATTAGCGTTTGGGTTCAAATTATCATGAGCAGAATTTTCATCTACAAGAATGTCTGCGAGATCATGGAAAATTGGGTGACACCTTCCCAGCCGGTTAGCGTCTCTGGGGCTCATCCACCAACTGCCAAGAACACGTCCTCTTCTTCGATCTTTGAGAGCAAAAAAAGGCTCAAGACAGTTTTCATTTTATTTGAAAGCAAAGTTCCGAAACAACACCATGGGGTGGGATTGTCCCCCTTAAAAGTCATAAATCTAATTTTACATCTTTGTATTTAAAAAATGAGGATGTTGTTTCCCCCAAAGAATGTGTCCAAAAATCACAGACCGAGTCTACCAAGAAGCAGCAGCAACAAGGTAAGTCTTGGCAGAGCCAGGCCAAGTGAACATTTTCCATGTGCCAGGCATTGTCTTAAGCTCTTTTTAGATACTAATCTAATCTTCACATCAACACTAGGTGGAAGGTTTTATTAACCCCATTATACAGTTGAAGCTGAAGCACAGAGAAGGAGGGTGACTTACCCAAGGTCCCATAGCAGTAAGTGGCAGAGCCCTGACTCAGATCATCTTCTTCAGAACGACTCAGAGACAACAAAGTGCAAATGGCAGATTGTTATTTAGGACCTGAGGTAACACACAGGAGAATACAACCCTCCCACATTGTGAGTACACAAGATAGACCTATTTAAATGGTTCAGTATATCGACCTCCAAACATGCCTCCAAGTCATCGTTTGTCCCTGCTTAGTCTCATCTTCTTCTTTCTTGTGTTTTTCCTGCAGACATTCATGCCCAGGAGAAGGCGGCTTTGGGTCCCTCTGGACCTTTCCTAAAAAGGAGATCCCTACTCACTAGATGAGTTCCAGAAGCACCCACTAAGGCTCCCATAGAACCTCTTTCATCAGTTGGCCTTCACCGAGACCCTATCACACAGGATGAGTGGCTTCCTTGCCTCCCTGGACCCCCGGCGGGTGCAGTGGGGGGCTGCCTGGTATGCCATGCACTCCAGGATCTTGCGCACCAAACCAGTGGAGTCCATGCTGGAGGGAACTGGGGCCACCACAGCTCATGGCACCAAGCTAGCTCAGGTGCTCACCACCATGGACCTCATCTCACTTGGCGTTGGCAGCTGCGTGGGCACGGGGATGTACGTGGTATCTGGTCTGGTGGCTAAGGAAATGGCAGGACCCGGTGTCATTGTGTCCTTCATCATTGCAGCCGTTGCATCCATATTATCAGGTAAGTGTCTCAGTACAGTGGAAGGCCTGTGGAAAGTGCACTGGTCAGTCTGTTACTTCTCATCCCACTCCTCTAGAATATTCAGTGCTGAGAAGTATGAAGTGTCAGCAAAGGGGTCATCAGGCTCCTTTCTTGCCCTTACTGCCAGAGAGCTCAAAACTCAACTGTAGTAGCTTCTTTTATCTTCGGTTTTTTGTTACAGATAATTATTCTGGTGTCTGACCACCTCCTAACTTCTCATTCCCTGTCATGTCTTAATGGCTCCGTTTTTATCATAACTCTCTCTTTCGATGGAAGATAGGTCAATCCCTTTGTGCGGAGGTGGATATAGCTGGATTATAAGTAATACATAAAGGCTAGGCAGAGTAGCAAAATGACAAGTCACTAAATCTGATATGACTGGGATTTGATGAGCCAAAAATTGGCATTGTGACCCCCAAGCAGGAGGAAACCAAGCTAGGAAATATAAAGCCATCGTGAGAATCACAAAGCACCATCTGCCACAAGCACTTCAACAGATTGTTTTCTATAGGGGTATTTCAGCCATAGCCGTCTCTCTCCTTGGGAAAGAATCATAAAACTCATTTTTTACATAAGGCACCAGGACTTATATATGGATAATTTGTGAAAAGGCTCCTCTATTTTCCTTTTCCTCTTCCCTCCTTTTCTCTTGATCTGTGATCCACAGTATCTTCCCAGGAATAGGTCAATAGATAATAACTTGAAAAAGAAGGACAAAGAACACATCCTGCTTCTTGAGAGTTGTAAATGCAAAAGCATTTCGCTGGGGTTTTGGTGGCAGATCGTGTAGGTCAGCTCCTGTCCTGGCAGGGAACATCATGGCCTCATCCAGTGCCTCAGAAGCAAGAATTCTTAATATATCAGGATTCCTATGTACAAAAGCACACCAGCACAAGGAAAGTTCTACATGAATATTGTCCGTCTAGACTAGCCTTCATCCACAGGGGATGCATAGCCCAGGAACACATAACCAGAAAGTTTATATCATTTTAACTTAATGAGGGAAGTAATTCCAAACTGATTTTATTTATCTCTTGTCAAGGCTTACTTCCCTATTGGTTGTACAAGTATCCCTTTTCCTGAAGTCATCTCTAAGATGCATGAATAGCCTAATAATTGAGGTTCCTTCAGAACCTATGTTTTCCTATAGATGAAAATAAATTATTCAATTGGATGAATTCTGTGGAAACTTCAAAGGCTATTAACCCAATGGCAATCATTTTCAAGCTTATTGGCAAAAAAACTATTTGGAGGAAAGTGCCAGATTCTTACTTACTATAAATATATAGATCTAGAAGTATTAGCATATAGAACAAATGAACGATAGTAGGACAAAAAGCAGACATATAACCAGGGGTTCCACTGAAGGCATAGGCCAGATGGCTGAGTCCTGTCCAGTTAATGCAGATTGCCCACTCTCCTCTAGTTCCATTCTGTTATGACCCTATCTCCCATACCACAATGAGTCCTACAAATAAGTCACCCACATTTTAACCTTTGCAGTGTTACATTATATTTAGAAACCGGAACAAGGCTCAGTTGCATTCTGGAAGGCTGACCCCTGCCAAGATGCTTGTGGCACTACATAGCTCAGACTTTTCTGTTGCTCATATGGAGGACCAAAGACTGACCCAGCCAGTGCTGTTCTGGGACCAGCTCGTGCCAGCTGCCAAGAGCTGTAACTGTGCACACCTCTCCCCAATTTTCCATTGTTACCTTGAAATTGGCTATAGTAGGAGTATTTACACCACAAAAATTGGCAAGTACTCCCAACAGAGTCTGGTGTGTTGCCTGGTTTCAGAGAATCCATTGTTGAGAATTTGTCAGCAAAACTGGCCCAGCTCTACTGAAGGTCTTGGAATGTCCAAGTAACTGGTGACTTCACCACCACACCAAACACCAAAATAAAACCCTACCTCTTTCCAAATAAAGGACCCCCCCCTTCAACATGTGGCTGTATCCATACGTTTCTCTACACTGAGGCCAGCCAGAATTCTCCGATAGCTCCCAGGCAGAACCCGGGCCAAAATAATTTGTGACAAATTTGTGCATATTTATAACACATGCCTCCAACCAGGCCTCTCATTCTGTAATCCTTTGTCACTAAACTGAGGGAAGTCCCCCTCTGCTATCTTCTTTCCACTCCTGTATCATCATCACTATATTTCATCTCCCCTGACCAAACTTCCCACCACTTCTCCATATCACAATATTCAAACTCCCCTCTACCTTCAGACTTTTAAATACATGCTCCTTTCTCCTTCTGGCCTTACCAAAACCTGGCCCAACCATGAGGACACCATTGAAAATACTGAGAAAGTGCACTAGAACAGTAGACATGAAGCCAAAAAGCAGGATGTTGAAATTGAGATTTCAGAAGTGGTATAGTAATCACCAAAGTTAAGATTAGACTTGGGGGGTGCCTGGATGGCTCAGTGGGTTAAAGCTTCTGTCTTCCGCTCAGGTCATGATCTCAGGGTCCTGGGATCGAGCCCCGCATCGGGCTCTCTGCTCAGTGTGGAGCCTGCTTCCTCCTCTCTCTGCCTGACTCTCTGCCTCCTTGTGATCTTTGTCGGTCAAATAAATAAAATCTTAAAAAAAAAAAAAAAGATTAGACTTGGAAATGGGCTGGGCCACTGGCTGGCTGTGAGACCTTGAGCAAGTTCCATAATTTCTCTAAGCCTCAGTTTCTCCACCTTGAAAATGGTCATAATGATATCTCCTTCACAGAGTTTCTGTAAAGATTAGAGATGCCTGGGAGTGCTGTGGCAATGCCTGGCACATAGTGCTACATAAGCAGTTGTTATTATTGTGTGCCAAATCCTGTATTTGGAGCTTGTCGTACATTATCACATTTAATACTCATAACATCTCTGCACCACACCTGGGTGGTGGGTTGAGCATCAAACTCTTGATGTTGGCTCAGGTCATGATCTCAGGTTCATGGGATCAAGCCCTGCATCACATTGGTCTTCACACTCAGTAAGGAGTCTGCTTGAGTCTTTCTCCCTTTCCCTCTGCCCCTCCCACAGGTCCTCTCTCTCTCTCTCTCTCTAAAATAAATAAATCTTTAAAATTAAAAAAATTCATAATATCTCTTCAAGGTGGGTTTTATTATCTTCAGTTTCACATATAAGAAAACTGAAATTTAAATACCAGAACCTAGATTCAAATTTGTTATACCAACAACATCTTTTGAAGTTGGCTATGAATTTAAATCACTTGGGGAATTTTTTTTTTTCTAAAGAATCGTTTGGGGGAAAGAAGTCAACTTTACTGATATAATTACATACAGTAAAATGTATCCTTTTAAATATACAATTTTATGAGCTTGACCAACACAATTACATAACTGCCACCACACTCAAGATATAGAAGAGTTCCATCATCCCCAAATAATTCCTTCTTGTTAACTCTTTGCAATTCTCCTCTCTTCCACCCCCACCCCTGACAACCACTAACCTGTTTTCTGTCCCTATACTTTTGCCTTTTCCAGAATGTTATACACATAGAATCATTCAGTATATACTCTTTTGAGTTTGGTTTCTTTCACTTAGAATGATGCATCTAATGTTCATTCATATTGCATATATCGTTGGGTCATTTCATTGTTATTTTTTAGTAGGATCCCATTGCATGAATATACTACAGTATATTTATCCATTTACTAGTTGAATGTTGAATTGAGTTGGTTCCAGTCTGAGATCATTATAAATAAAACCATTACAAATATTTATGTACAGGTTTTTGTGTGAACACAAGCTGTCAGTTCTCTTGAGCAAATACCTAGGAGTGGAATTATCAGATTGTGTGGTAAGTGTAGGTTTAACTTCATAATAAACTGCTAAACTCTTTTCCAAAGTGACTGTATTATTTTTCATTCCCACCAGCTCTACCTGAGAATTCCAGTTGTTCTGCTCCTTGCTAGCCCTCAGAATTGTCAGGTGTTGCTTTTTCTTGCTGCTTTGTTTGTTTGCCATTTTAAAAGGTGTATAATGATATTTCAATGTGGTTTTCATTTGCATTTCCCTAGTTGCTAATATTGTGAACAACTTTTTATTTGTTTATTTGCCATCCATCTTCTTTGGTGAAGTGTTCAAATCTTTTGCCCATTCTTTAACTGGGTTCTTCATTTTCTTATTATTAACTTTTAAGATTTCCTTATATATTCTGAATATAATTCCTTTATTATATATGTGATTTTGTAAATATTTTCTCCCACTTTGTGACTCAACTTTTAGTTTTCTATTAATTCCTGTATATTTCCTTTTTAAAATGCTGATGCCCAGGCCCTACCCCAGAGATTCTAACCCAGTTGCCCTGGGGTGAAACCCGGGGAATGGTCTCTTTTTAAGAGCCTCAGAGGATTTCAATGTGCAGCCAGAGTTAAGAACTACTCTGTCATTGGCACCAAAACTTAACTCCTACTTCAGCTATGACCTACAAAAAGAGAAAGCATATGTTAGAATATAAATTATTTGGCCAACAGATTCTTAAGAGATTTTCTTGGTTCTATGGCATCATCCCCTGTGCTCTGCAAACTAGCTTATACCATGAAACAAATCTAAGACAGAGAGCCACTTCCTCTATAATTTGACAAGAGCCAAAATTACAGGAACCTCCCAAGTTCCTCCTACTAATCAACATCATTACTGCCCACAGCCCTTTTGCAGGTGGAGGGAAACTTATCAGAGGAAGCAGCTTGTGCTGCACATTTACCCTCTGTCCATAAGGCCTTATCTACTCTTTAATATTCAACAGGTCACAACCAGACCCCATGCTCATACCAAATCTTAAAAACTCTTTGAATACACCAGATTAAATAAACGAGATAGGGGAAATTGTTTTTCTTCCTGGTTCCCACCTACAACCATATTGAGAGACTGAGGGATGAAAGCGGGATGGCTTCCAGAGGTTCTCTAATTCTGTTGACTCAGGATGAAACACAGAACAAAGCCACCATGCTGGTGACATCTGGC